CAAGCAAAAAAACTTATTATATATATCATAAAATTATTATACAGTATATTATTTTAATATATACATTATTATTATATATGATATAATAGGCTTTCAGAGGTCTTGTTATATTTTAGCATGCATGTTGAAATCTAATTTCAGCAAGGGTTGAAATGTCCTTACGCACACATGTGTATATATGTAATATGTATAATGTATGCATATATGCATATATAAATTATTTCAACCCTTGCTGAAATTTTATTTCAACATGCATGTTGAAATATGAACCGGCTGGCGCGGCATATACTGTGAACGTGTTTATATATAAGAAAGCCTTCCTCTCTTTATTTTGCAGTTTTAAGCAGTTCACATTGAGGGTACAACACTATAAAAAGAGGTAACACCTTTAGATAAAGTTTTTAAAGCCTTCTTGCTTAATTCTTTATTCTAAAGAAACAATTTTTGCAAATCATAGTTGTTCAAACTTGTGTAAAAAGCAACAAATTAGCACATTTACTTTGCAATAAAGATTTGATGCTTCTCCCGCATCATACATAGCTTCCTTGTATTTAGCCTATACAGACTTTAAATGTAATTTCAAATGACCCTTCTGATTAAGAAGGAATGAGCTATCCATATTTATCATTTTGAAACTTGATTGCTTTTTTAACTGGGGTTTCTCTATTATGTATCTTTCGCATTTGTACTTACAAAAACCATGCGGTTAGCTGTCAGAATTAAAAACTAAATAAATTTTTAAGCTAAAAAACATTATTTACTGGATAAAAGTTAAAAGGATACCTTTGTGAACGCCCCTCATTAAATGGAGGCTCACTTGAAATTACAACGATCCAGTCCCTTTAAATAATTTGTGAATTGTAAATACTTTTAAACTATTTTTTTTCGGTTATAAAGTTTTTCGAAACGCTGTTTGCTAAGGCAAAAATGAGTTAACTTTAAAGTCTTCTTAGCTTGATAAAACAAAATTTGGCACCTAATTATGTCTCTAATGTTCTTTTGCATGTATATTCAGTCTTTTGAATTCTAATGCATTCTTTTTTTTTCAGGAACTCTAGCCATGTCTTACAGCCACGACCCCTCGACACCTACTTATAAAGGGGTGACAGTAACCCATTCAATAAATAATAATGGTTTAAAAAAGCTCTTGATAATAGGAAAGACAGGAACAGGGAAGAGTACTCTGTGTAACGTACTAACTGGAAATGATCCCAAAGCTAAAATCTTCCCAGTTTCCTCAGATGCTGAGTCCTGCACCCAGGCAACTAAGTTTGCTAATGTTTGGTTTAATGGGGATAAATCCAAACATATCTCTCTGATTGATACTATTGGATTTGATGATGCTACTAAGAACGATGATGCTGCTATTATTGCAGAACTGGTTGGGAAGCTCAGAGATGATTGTGACCATGTCAATCTGTTTGTGATTGCTGTCAATGGACAGAATCCAAGACTTGATGGCTCTCTGCTCACAATGATCAGGATCTTTGAGGGAATGTTCTCTAAAGATTTCTGGAAGCAGGTTATCATTGTGTTCACACGTATCCCACAAGATGCTAAAACCAAGAAGAGGAGAGAGAAACAGAATGATAAAAGTGATGAAGATCTTGCTGCAGACTATATCAAGCTAGTGGAGAGACAGTTCAAGGATTGTACAGGATTGAAATATCTCTACATGGATGCTACATATGACAAAGAAGATGAGGATGAAACAGATGCTTTTGAGACTGCTCTCACTGAACTCTGGAAAACCTTGAAGAACTGTCCACCCCTCTCAACAGATCATGTCCAACAGGTTGAGACAGATAATGCTAAACTTAAGAGACAGATTGAGGAGCAGAAACAGGCAAGAGAGGATGCGGAGAAATTGCTGAGGGAAGAATTGGAAAAGCTGAAAGCTGAAAACAAGAATCTCAGTGATAAAGAGCTGGAGAAAAAACTGGAGAAGTTGGTCAAGAATCATGAAGATCAAGGATTTTCTGTTGAGAATGCGATTTCTGACGTTACTAGTTGGGCTACTATAGGCCTTCTTAAGTTCTTGAGGGTCCTGCTGGAGCCGCCATTGGGGCTGTAATAGGAGGTGTAAAAACCTTGGCCAGACTTTTTAGAAGATAAATTTGTATCCGTAATTGAAATTTGAATAAGCCTGGAAATATGAACCATAAATATACGGATATGTGACTGGTTACCAGATTATGAATATGGAATTATAATGTATATGTAAACATGTAACCTAGATTTAAGTTTGTCGTTTATTTTTAGAAACATAAATCATGATTTATAATAAATAAAGTATTGAGCTCTTACATATTATAACAATGAAACCCATAGTTTTCAGACAACGTAAACAATAATCTCAGTCTAATTTTATGAAAGACTAGCTTGGGAACCCAGCGCTGCCTAGGTTACTAAAAGTTACTCCCGCCATTTACCCGCACTTGTTTGCTATCAAAGTCGAACCACTCAATCTAGAATCTCAAAACCAAGCAAAAAAACATTTCCCGTGGCTCTCACAAATTCTCCGATCAAAATTTTAGTCAAATCGGTCCGGGGTTTCTAAGTTATGATCGGACAAACAAACATACTCGACAGACATAGATTACAACTTTATATATATTGAGTTACTACAATTTGTGAATTGATAAATTGATAAAGAATTGAGATCCTTCTGACTTTTCTCTGGTACTATGTCATTTTTTCTGTACAAATCATTTATCTTATACTGAATATAGTGAGTGGTGACTTCACTTGTCCTACACTTCACTTGTCCTACACTTCACTTGTCCTACACTTCACTTGCCCTACACTTCACTTGTCCTACACTTCACTTGTTCTACACTTCACTTGTCCTACACTTCACTTGTCCTACACTTCACTTGTCCTACACTTCACTTGTCCTACACTTCACTTGTCCTACACTTCACTTGTCCTACACTTCACTTGTCCTTCACTTCACTTGTCCTACACATTACTTGTCCTACACTTCACTTGTTCTACACTTCACTTGTCCTTCACTTAACTTGTCCTACACTTCACTTGTCCTACACATTACTTGTCCTACACTTCACTTGATTTCACTTCACTTCACTTGTCCTACACATTACTTGTCCTACACATTACTTGTCCTACACATTACTTGTCCTACACATTACTTGTCCTACACATTACTTGTCCTACACATTTCACTTGTCCTACACATTACTTGTCCTACACATTACTTGTCCTACACATTACTTGTCCTACACATTACTTGTCCTACACATTACTTGTCCTACACATTACTTGTCCTACACATTACTTGTCCTACACATTACTTGTCCTACACTTCACGTGTCCTACACATCCGTTTTCCTGCACTTCACTTGTCCACATCAGTTGTTGTAAACATCATTTGTCTTACACATAATTGTTGTCCTGCAACAGTTAATATATCAGTCCTGGAAAGAGCACATACTTTTTTAAACAGTTTTTTGTATCCCAGTTTACTCAACCCGTATATTGAAAATATGTTATGCAATAAGTCGCCTATATTTGCATATTTTTCATATTTTTGTAAACATATATATTTAACAAATTTTCTTAACAAATAATTTATGCATATTTAATGTTAATAAAAAATAATTATACTTAGGCATTTTATTGATTAACTCTTTTCAGAAAAATCTGAAAAATGATAAATAAGATTTTTATTTTCTTATTTTTAAATTACAAAATTTATTTTTATTTGGAAATAGAAATAGAAATATATTTTCCATAAGAAGCAACTTCATCTGTTCAATAATGTGGAAGATATTGATATTTTTCATCTTGGAAAGTGTTTAATTCTGACAAGTTCCTTCATTGTTTCTGAAGCATAACTACGCAGGTTATTCTTTAGAGAACCAACAAATAGAAAAAAGCAATTTTGTCAGAGAAAAGAATGAATCTTCCTTGTATTCTAGATCATACAAAGCTATTTGGGAGGGTACCATTGTGAATTTATTACGCCAAACTAAAATAAATTTAAATTCACTTGAAATCATGTTTACTGACAGTCCTTTTACAAATGATAAGAATATTTCTCATAATAACGTTTTCACGTCCATTTTGTAGAATCTCATGTCCAATTCACTACAGTACACCTTAAAGTATTGTTGTCTGATTAAGGATAAAACAATTGACAATTTTATACCGTTGTATGCACGTTGTTTTGTACTTTGGGAATTACAGAAAAATTAAAATTGACATTAAATTATTTCAAACCAAGTTAAATATGTATTTCTTCATGGTCAATGATCAGATAAAGGTTTAAAGGGTACAGATGCCATACGTAGGGTCACATGAAATTGCGTCTACAGTCCCTTTAAATTGTTAACCAGTCATTCATGACTAGGACTTTGAACGTGGAAATAGGTTAACTAAATAGGTTGTTGTATATATATGAATATGTATATTTCAGGATTAGATTTCGATGGAAATCCAAGGAAGAAAATTTTTGTTGTAACTTGGTAGACACCTTAGAAGTCGAAAAAATCAGGTTTGGTTTATCGTATTCGGTCCAGAAGTAAGCAAATGCGTTTGAGCCTATAGTCCTAGGAAAAAAATAATTTCATATTGCTGAAAATTTGTAAGACTTGTGCTACCATCTACAATATACATATTTATATTTTATATTGTAATTTAACAATCTACATTTTTCTATTTTATATTGTAATTTAACAATAAAAAAATTTCTATTTTTTATTGTAATTTATTAATCTAAACATTTCTATTTGTTTTTGTAATTTAACAATTTACATATTTATATTCCATATTGTAATTTAACAATCTACATATTTATATTTCATATCAAATAGGTTTTCAAGTACAATATTTTTATATTTTTTTTTGTAATTTAACAATCTACATATTCATATTTCATATTGTAATTGAACAATCTACATTTTGTACTTTTAATTTTAATTTAACAATCTACATTTTTCTATTTTTTATTAATATTGACAATCTACATTTTCTATTTTTATTGTAATTTAACAATCCACATATTTATATTTTTCATTGTAATTTAACAATCTACATACTTATATTTAATATCGTAATTTAACAATATAAATTTTCTATTTTTTAATGTAATTTAACAATCTACATTCTACTATTTTAAATTGTAATTTAACAATCTACATTTTTCTTTTTTGTATTGTAATTTAGCAATCTACATATTCATATTTCATATTGAAAGTTAACAATCTACATTTTTCTATTTTCTATTTAATTTGACAATCTACATATATTTCATATTGTAATTTAACAAATTACATTTTCATATGTTTTATTTTAATTTAAGAATCTAAATTATATAATTCATTACATTTATTTAATTATTTAATTAATAATTGTAATGAATTTAGTCAGCTTGAACCAGATGAGAAAGTTGAACTGTGTAGACTAAATTAAATTATTTCTCTTCAGCTTGACCCGGCTTATGAATTACTGGTTGAACAAGTGGTACTTGGTTCAGCTGTTTCTGGCTATTCATTAAATCTGGTCTCTCATCGACATCTTTTTTTATTTTAGATATAATCAAGATGTATAACCCACTGTACAAAATGCGTTCTCAGCTTAGAACGCATTCTTGATAATATGAACGCGTTCCTGATTTTAAACGTCTTTTCAAAAATTTCCGTTCCGTTTCTTTACAAATTGTTCCAAGATTTTTAAGAACGCGTTCTATGCGTTTGTTCTTTTTTCCTAACAATGGGATCGTTCTTGATCGTTCTGTTCGTTCTTGTGAAAGAACGATCGTTCCCCGGAAACGACGCCCAGCCCTAGTCCCCCCCTCCAACAAAACAAAAAAAAAAATTTTTTTAATAAAATTCCCAGTATTTTACCTAACTGAACCGATTTTCCAGCATTCTATCAAATTCAGCTGAAATGTATCTTTATCCTTAAATGCCAGAACAATCTTTTTAAAATCTTGAATTTCAGAATTAAAAAGAAAAATCGTAAGTCACAAGATAAAGTAAAAAAATCAATTTTTCATATCATAACTAAAGAATTGAGTCTTTGCGACAATTTCAAATTTTAAAATCTCTATATCTTTTCAACCTGATGGTACATAAACTTTTGATATTTCAAACTCAGATTATTCGAACTAACAGAATTCATAGTTTGAAATATCTAAGGTCTAAGACATTGGTTTGCAAAAATATTGCGATAAAAAAATCAGAGATTGTGGCTGAGACTCAATTCCTTTTTCACTTTTGCACTTAGGTATTAGAATGTGTAGATCTACAAGAGAGGAACATAAAACAGATGTTTAATCAGCTAAAACGAAGATACAACAGCTAGAGAATAAATTCACTGTTATATTTTTATTTAACAAAAAATTAAAATTCAAATATAAATATTGAATGTTTTCGCTTTTGATAATTATTCACCTCGACAATTGAAGGGCATGTCCAATTTTTTCAATTTTAGGATTCTAAAATAAATTTTCAATTTTTCACTACAATTTGAAATTTATTGATTTCATATTTCAAATTTTCATTCAACTACAAAGCATGAGATATTACAAATTTAAACAATCGCAATTTACTTGGACCCGCCTAACCAAAGTAGGTTGTTTTGAGTGGTTGGCCCTAAACTCATTTCAAGTGACCCTCCATTTCTGATCATTATTTTGATTATATTTTTTCTGATTAAGGATGAGTGAGATGTCCACATTTGTCTAGCTGAACAAAGATTATTTTCAATTGTGGCTTCTATGAAAAGTTACTTACTGATATAGGTCGCAGTCATAATGAGGGAAATACTATGAAATAAATTATCGCTTTCAAATAGTAACTCGAAGTATAAAAACTTTTTTTAAATTTTTAAAGGTTCTATTAGCACAATTTCAAGTGATCCTCCGCGTAAAAAAATAGCAATACCTGATTAACGATAATGCCCTTGAATTCTTTACCTGATCAATAATTTGAAAGATTTTGTCGTTTTTCTAGGTCTGAGCATTCCCATATGTTATTATGCAGTATAGAAATGCGCAAGTCACATTTAAGAGAAACCACAAATTAAATTAATTAGTTTTCAAAACTATAAACATTGATATCTGATTCATACTTAATCAGAGAAAGCATTGCCATCTTTTCATTAATGGTCATTTAATTATTGATAATTATGAAATAAACTCTCAAAAAAGTTATATTATAAACTCGTAAATAATTTTACAATATTGAGTTTTAAAACAGAACAATGACAAACATGCGTTTTAAAATGCAGCTGAATTGTTTCTTGCCTACGATAAACATTACTAGCTTGGGAACCCAATATTTTGGGACAAAGCTATGAACATTACCGTGGTTTCCCAATCGATAGTTGAGCCAAATCGGCTCACAAGTTCTGATAGGACATACAAACAACTATCCAAATAGAGATTACTTTATATATACAGTTATAACCAGAATAAGTAGATGAATTTTGAAACTTGTCGAAGGTGCCTAAACAATGTCAAATTTGGCAAAATTGGACGAAATAAGACTGATGACAAAGATAAGAAGATGTAATATTGTGTATTTTGATTATTGTCTTGCACAGCTTATATTTAAAAATTACAAAAAAATTAATGTAAAAATCAATAGAATGGTTGAAATGATATTGCCCCCACCCCCTCACAAAAGTGCTATTTGGGCCATTGAATGGAAAATACAAATTTCTTAGATACAATTTAGATCAAATAATGAATGAACATGACATTCATTCCATTGCATGTCAATCAGTAATCCTTTCTAAGCCAATTCCTAATCCTCTCCCTGCCCTGGAAAGTTCCAACCATTTTTATTCCTTTGAAAAAGCAAGGTCCTTGTTGCCTTAATGGGACTGCAAGATTAATTTCATTTGATCCCTGTTGCAAAGATGTCAATGTCCATTTTATAACTGTACCATTGAATAATTAGTCAGATCAAAAATGTGGAACATAAAGTAGCTTTTATGACTTGAAAAGCGTTTAATTCTGATGATTTCTCCTGTCATTCTTATTAACAAGGAATGCACAGGATACTTTGGTAGAGAAACCAGTAAACGAAATAACAGTTTTCAAAATACTTCAAGTCCCTTGAGTATACACAACTCCTAATTACTGTAGAAGATGTCAAAATAGGGATTTTTCTGTGGTGAATAATATGCAGGGGAAATATATATTTATAGAATTTGGGTCCTGGGATTCCCAAAACTAGGGTTCAAGGATCTGCACAAGATGGTCAGAGAAGGAGGACTGGAGAAGTTAGTCGTGTACGAACTGGCGTGAGCGGATGTTGAGCAGATTGTTATGACCAAGATGTGCAGCTATATATAAGTTTTTTTACAGTTTGATATCCATTTCATTCCTTTTATTCAATGAAGTATCTTGTTTCGTGTTATCGCGTTATATTTATTAGTTTTGTGAAAAAGGTTGGTAAAATGCAATTTAGATAAATACAGTTTTCTATTTAACTTTTAGATCACTTTAGACACCCATGAGGATGTTTGTGTGCTATTAATATAATTTGACCTCCTAAAATGACCCCTTGGAATGATATTTGCGGATAATGACCTCGGTGGTAAATTTTTTCAAAAACCAATATCATTGTTGAAACATGCATATGCTTTTACCTATAAAACGATAACTTGGACGGCTTGTGCTCTCTAAGACATAAGTTTACATTTGAGAATGTGTTCTTTTTTGCGTGAACAGTCCCTTAGAAGGCCCCAAGAAAAAAACTTACAACATTTTTGGCCTATTCAACTACCTAATACCTTGAACCTATCATATAAATGGACTAATAACAAATGAAAGCTTGAACATATCATTTCTAAAATAAAAATATTATTAATTAAAGTGATGACTTTTTAAAAGTTTTTTTGTAATTTCAGATTCACAAAAAATGTTTTATTTTTGTACCCTGGTGGGTTAGATAAAAAAAATTTGATTGAAATAGCGAGCTGTGGATTGTACCAACCGATTTCAAAAATAAAATTGAAAAAAAATTATTTTTGTGGTCTGGGCAAGGTTCGTACGGAGGTACCCGTAGCTCTCTTTTCGTTTTTTTTTCAATGCATATTTTTTTTTAGATTGCTCTAGCTCCAAAAGTAATAATCGCTGATGCAAAATTTTAGCTAAAAATGAAACCTAAGACTAACAGCTTATGATTTTTAAAAAAATTTCGCAAATCTTTTTTTTTCCATACTTTATGAACAAATGAAAATGAGACGTGTAAAATCGAAAAATTGAAAAATCCGGGAAATCGATTTTCGACTTACGCTCAAATAGTTGGTTGTAACAAAAAAGTATGAGGCCTAGAAAGAAAAATTTCACATCATGAAATAACTGAAATATAGAGCTTTCGAATGACACCTTGATCGTAATAATTGAACGAAAATTGTTTCCACAGATACTAATACCCCTACTGCACAGTTTTATTTGAGACACCCCATGTACATACTTTGAATTTACGCATTGTGCTCAAAAGTGTCCTTTGCTAGCTTGCAGAAAGTAAACTAACTCACAATCCATATTCCTAGCTTGTGGAATACCTTTAGACCAAACAGTTTCCCTAGAACATCTGGACCATACCATTTTAGGATGGAATTTAGATCAGCTAATAAAAGATTTTATATTTTTAACCCCGCGGTCAACATTTGTAGCAAAAAAATGCAGATTTGACAGCTGACGTTTACATTTCTTGGTTTTTATATTTTAAATCAACACCAATTTGTAAATTTTGATGATTTTAAACCATGATATTTAAAAAAAAAATATGCAGAAGTTGAATATCATAAAATCCTTACTATCCAAAAGTGAACGAAGTGGTTGAAAGCATACCATCGGAAACAGAAGTGGATGATACAACTAGATGTTAACCATAGATGTCCTTTAATTACACTTCAAAACTCCACTTATTTTTTGTAAAGAGAAAATTTATCAATTTCATATTGTTTTTGTACAAAGTAAGTAAAAAGGGTGCAATTAGTGCCGTTTTGTGCAAAATAATTATTTCTTTTGTTTAATCCACTTTTTGATACAATTTAACTTTTTAGATTTTAGGTGGTAAGACTATTTTTGTTGTTCTACACTGTTAATTATGCTGGTATTTTGGGCTTTATGAAGATTTAAAAAGATGTTGAAAATTTTCTAGAGTTGAATGAAATTAGAATTTGAAGAGGACGAGACAAGTCACACCTTCTTTTTGACTCACCCTGAATACATTCATGATAAATAATTAAATACAGGGTGTTCCAATAAACATGGGAATTCAGTGACGAATTCGATATCGTCTTCGTTATGAATTAGCATTGTAATACCTAATTTCTAAAACCATAATATTATTGGGTCTGCTCGAGTTTATTTTATGAAAACGGTAAATGGCTTTAATGTCTATAATGTCTCTGCAAGATGAAAAGTAGAGACTATACAAGTTTACCTTGTTTGTATACTGTAATCTTTTTGTTTTACTAAGTACAACCGTATACAGTAAAAACATAAACAAACAAAATGTAAACATAGCAGACGAAAATCTTACGGATTACGCTTTCTCAGTAGGTATCCTATACTAAATCAAAGAATTATTCAAAAAGACGATATCGAATTCGTCACTGAATTCCCATGTTTATTGGGACACCCTGTACATTATTTGCTCTAGTATTAAATTCTAACTTTACATATGTTGGATGGTTTATCTGTACAGAGCTGGAAACTTAAGAATGGTGGATGTCAGGATTAATGCTTAATCCTCTCTTTTTGCTAATCTCGAGATTATGTTAGTCTCGAGATTAAATATTTAGATCAACAAATTTGATCCTAGGAACGCCATGTGTGTTCTTTTTCTTGATTGGAAGGGCCTTCACTTAATTTCTCACCCATTTATTTAGTTTTAAAAAAATCTCAAACTTATTATTTCATATTTTTCTTCACCGATTAATTTACAAAATGTACGGATATCCAAAGAGAGAGAAAAAGAGTGGATTAAGGACTAAAATTAAAAGTTTCCACAGAGGATATTCGGATTAAGTAGTTGGGATTAAAGGTTAATTATCCATTCTAAAGTTCCCAGCTCTGAAATACATCATGTTATATCCCGAGATATCATAAATACCAAAACTACGTAATTTGAACTTTTTAGCTTGACCAGGCTCACAAGAAAAGTGGTTCAACTCAGTCTACGTGGTTCAGATATTCCTGGCTATTCCGTAAATCTATTTCCTGGTACGAAAAACTGACATTAATAAAAATGATGATAATTTATTCATCGAATATTACAGTATAATAGTAAAGGGTAAAGTTTGAAAATGAAAAGCTGGGTTTTCATAATACTACATAGAGAAAGTATCTTGTATTTAATCTTCCATTGGTTTTCACGCTCCTAACCTAAAAAAAATAGCTATAATCTTTTTAATGAGGTTGTTCTATACAGATCTGACAGATAGACAGATCTGAGCTGAAGAAAGCCGGCATTTCTTCAAGTTTTGAGTTTTGACAAGGATTAGTCAACAAAAGAAGAAAAGGAAACATCGAGAAGGAAAATAAGATGACAAGAAGAAGTATAAAAGAATATTTCTGTATTATCTGTAGATACCCAATAATTAAAAAAATTCATATTATTGTTAAATTTAAAATGCAAAAATAAATATGTAAAAAGAGTCCGTTCTTAAATAATGAGTCGATTGGTTATATTCGTTGGGCGGACGATCCAACAATCTAACAAAATCTCCAGGACACCCTGGGATAAATTCATAAATTCAATCACGTTTTGGTCTAAATTCAACAATCCTTAAAATTACGGAGTAAAAAAGATAAAGAATTAACACTTTGAATTGAATTAAATTGTGATCAAAAGTGTTGAAATTAGTGGTAAAAAAGGCAAAAATTTAAAAATGTTAATTCTTGTTAAACCATAGATCTTTACCTTTCAGAAGCATTTCATTGAATCAATAATAAATTTCTGTTGAAAATTCTTTTTTAATTTTTTCGAAATGCTTTAACATAGTAAATTCATACTTTAAAGGGATTGTAAAAAAACTAACATTTCACAATTAGAAAAAGAAAAAAGACGACAAATTCAACTATTTTCTGGGGCCCGCAGACCGCTGCTCAACTTAAAAAAAATGTTACTTAGGATTTTGTAATTTGATGTTGGTGTTGTTGATTACATCTGAGAAAGTTCAGTTGAAAATTACAAAGCCTATCATTTCACAATTAAAGGACAAAAGAAGACGACAAAAATGTAACTGTTTTCAGTGGCCACTCATCAAATTTTTCAGAAATTTTGCTACAAAATGTGGTAAATGATTTAAATAAGACGACAAATAATTCCCTATTTTCTGGGGCTCACTGCTCAATAAAAAAAATCAGCTGCAGATTAAAAAATCTGTAGAAATTTTCAATCAAATAAGAAAAAAGACGACGAAAATTCCCCTGTTTTCTGGGCCCCCCCCCCCCCACTCCTCAAAAGAAAAAATATACAAAGTTTATTTGAGGAACGCGTGGGGATTTTACCTGATCGGTCTAGTCCAGGAATCCAGTGTTAACTAGTTTTTCTAGGAAGAATTTTACGTCGCCTAACTCGGAATCCTGCAAACATAAACAAGAATTTAGAGCGCTTCGCGCCCAGCAATTTAAATTCTTAATTTCTCAACAACGATATTCTTTTTAACAATAAAAACTTTTTGTTTTTCATGATTACTTTTATTAAGATTTTTGCTTAGGAAGAAAGTTCCAATTCGTGCGTATGACCTTAAACATCATAACATGACACTCGGTGCCAGGGAACTGGACAAAATCACGCTTTGGAACTTTTGTCAAATAGTTCACCTTGATTCCTAAGGATTTGAGCATCCCTATATCCCCGTTCTCTACAGCCATAAACACGGACCTCAGGTGTTCAATATCAGCTCTGTAAAGGGTTTTAATAATTTATTTTTAAATCTCTTAAAGGAACGTTCTTGATAATTTGAAGTGATTCCCGTTTAAATGCATGTACAATACACAATGGTACCCTAGAAAGTTGAGAACCTTGTATGATTATGAAAAGATATCCATTTTATTCTTAAAATTAATTATTTCTAATTATGGTTTCTCTATAAAAGTGACGAGGAATTTGCTAGAATTAATCACTAATTAAGTTTGATAAGCAACAATATCTTCCACACTAATTTCTATATTTAGGTTTGAAAGGTACAGTTGTGAATCGGACATAGAATTCTATAGATGGAGGGTAACCTGTAATAATATCTACAGCCTCTAAAAAGTTAATAAATTCCTAAGAATAATTAATCTAATTCAAGTTTGCTAATTAGTTGCGGAGAGAACTATAATTAAACTTAATTATGAACTAAATGAATTTCCTTGAATTACATTTCTCTCTTAAATTAGATATGGCATTGTAGTTTTGCCTCTTTTTCATACAATCAAGGTTAGAAGAAGGTTGTAAGAACCTGTCAAATCTTTCCCAGGGATAATTAGAAAGATAAAAATTTCCCTGTAATTGAAGGACTGCAGAATGATTTTGGTGAATTATATTAAATTTTAAATATTTTAATTTATTAAAATATTAAAACATTTTTATTGTCAGAATGCAAAAAAATGACCCTTACCTAGGTAGCTGAAGAGTGTGTCCGAAATCTTCAATAGTTTGAGATTCTAAAAAAAGTCAGGGGTCAAAATAAGTATGATCACCCCACCCCCACCCCTTCTTAGGAGAACGGAATATGGTAATTTAAAATAGAATTATTGATCACCCCTGAGTAGGTGTATTTTCAAAGGAATTGATTTTCTAATTTCAATATCGCTGCAACCCAATGTCGTAGACCTTTAATATTTCAAACTATGAATGCTATTAGATCAAATAATTTAACTTTGAAATATCAAAGGTTTACATCACAAGGTTGCAATGATATAGGTGTTACAAACACTGAATTTGTGGCAAAGACTCAATTCCTTTGGTAGTGAAAGAGAAATGTTTTGTTTCAAGTTAACGACAGGTTTATTACACAATTTTAAACTTTGCAAACAGAACTGAACAGGCATTCCAGAGGAAAAAAAATTATTTCAGAATTTTTAAAATTTCCATTTTGGTTTAGTGGGAGATTGTTCCTCAAAGGTTATNAATAGTAGGTCAATTTCCTTTATTCTGATCACTAATAGTCAAATCACATAATTTGATTTTAATTTCTAAGCAAATCATCAATAAATATGGACCGACGTTTATCCAGCTATTACAGGTTGTTCTGTAGACGTACAGACTATAATATGACAAAACAGAACAGTACACAAAATAAGTTTTTGGGAGATTAATTTGAAAGAAAAGTTTTGAATTGGGAATACATCTCGTTAAATTCGGTATACAACTCATTAAATTGGAAATACAACTCGTTAAAGCATGCATAAAATCGTTAAATTGGAAATACAACTCGTTAAATTGGGTATACAACTCGTTAAATTGGGTATACAACTCGTTAGATTGGGTATACAACTCTTTAAATTGGAAATACAATTCGTTAAATTGGAAATACAACTCGTTAAATTGGAAATACAACTCGTTAAATTGGGAATACAACTATTTAAATTGCGTATACAACTCGTTAAATTGGGAATAAAACTCGTTTAATTGGGTATACAAATCGTTAAATTGGAAATACAACTATTTAAATTGCGTATACAACTCGTTAAATTGGGAATAAAACTCGTTTAATTGGGTATACAAATCGTTAAATTGGGAATACATCTAGTTAAATTGGGTATAAAATCGTTAAATTGGGTATAAAATCGTTAAATTGGGTAAACAAATTATTGAATTGGGAAAAACTGGAATTTATTTTGATAATCCCAATAAACGTTAAAAATGCCATCACATTCGTTTCCCTTTTAATTAATTAAAGGTACACTGAAAATACTATGAACACTCCCTTTTGATTTGTACCAACCTGAAAGAGCAATTGCTACGTAATCAACTCCTCCAAGGGCAGCCAAATTATTCCTAGCCTATAACAAAAATGATATAGTTATAGGGCCAGGGGTTGAAAATAAAATCCTATCCTGAGAAAACAAAAGCTAAATATAGAAAAATAAAATAGAAAATCAAATAGAAAATAAAATTGTATTTTATATATTTTTTTTCCTAATTTTACATTTTTAAGGTTTAATTTTGTTACATTCTTTCTTACTTCATAATGTTTAGTTTCAGGGTTTTTGTTTTGATCAATCATTCGAAACAGTTTATTACTTAGCAGTTGCAAGTGCGACAGTGCAATAAATGTTATGTATGTACTTAAAAGAATTCAGAAAATAAGCTGTACCTAAACTTATATTGTATTTATATATATGTATTCCAAGGAAATATATGTTTTTAAAAAAATAGATGTACTCCCAAAAACTAGATGTACTTCAAGAAGATAGATTCACTCTAAGAAAATAGACGTACTTAATGGTTAGTATAGTGGTCACGTGTCTCTGTCTATATCACGTGATCAGTATACTGCTCTTTCATTGGTGGGAGTTCTTGTGACGTAATACGGGCTTATAAATAATATTATCAATTATATCTATTAAAAATAAAGAATAAAATATATAAAATAATATTTGGAGAAAGCTTCAGTTACAATTAGCTTTCTCTGGGATATCTTCGTTTTCAGATTGGTTGCATATTTGCTGAATATGCTCTGTTTATTCCTACTATTTCTATACAAAATTGTATAAAGGAATTGAGTCTTTGCCGCAAAGAACAAATTTCAAATTCATATATCTGTGTAACTTAATAGTGTAAACCTTTGATATTTCAAACTTAGATTATTTCACCTAATAGAACTCATAGTTTGAAATTTTAAAGTTATACTACATTGGGTTGCAAAGATATAAAGATTAGAAGATTAGAGTTTGTGGCAAAGACTTAATTCCTATGACACAGTTTTATATCAATTTCTCGAGACAGATAAATCAGATATAACTTTCATGGGTCGCGATCAAGTGATTAGCTTTTAGCCTATACCCCCTTCCTTTTTTCCTTTACAGTCCCTTTAACGAAAGATTAGCCCTATAGGTAGAATAAATTGATATTTTTTCAGACACAAATGAAAAAAGACAATTATCAGTGGCGTTACCTTGGATCCGAAAAGTTTCTCTAGATAGTCTGGACCATGGGAAGCTAGCAGAGATTTTAGGAAACTACTAGTTTCTTCCACAGGGGGCCGTCGAGCTAAAATAAAATATATTTTAGAAATATATCTCATTTATAAAAATAAACTCATTTAAAGTTTTCCGAATTGGACAGTTTGCAGAATTAAACGAATACAACGGGAAAATTTCAAAATTATAATTTCTCCCTCCACGTTTAAACTAGTAGGGTACTTAACTCCCCACTCTAAAAGTTAAAAGTTACACCATGTCCTTTAAATGCACGCAGTCGTACTGTCCCGTGTAAAGGTGACCCAGCACGTTTTATGCAACAGATGTAGCCTGGCAAGATCACTGCAGTGGTGCTTTCTTAATAGTCTAGTTAGTTTTAATACCCATTCTCTCTCATTAAAGGGAGTGACCGGCTATGTAAGGTAGTTGAACTGAGTATGCAGTGTTATGGAAAACTTCTTTCGGATTCATTTGAGACATATTAAACTCTTTTAAAGATCTGTAAATCCTGAGTTTGAGCGCAAATTCGACGTTCAAAACTTTTCAGAATTATTATTATTATTAAATAACGACAACGAAAAATAAAGTAAAAATTATACAGTAATCTAATTAGATGGGTAGGAATATATTTCTCAAAAGAAATTTGTTAATAAATCATTGCTAAAATCGATTATTTCGTTTTCATTATTATATTGAATTTCTTATTTTTTTAAATTTATTCGCAGATTTGTTCAAAATCTTCCAATGTCGTCTTTTCAATAATAATTCTAGAAAATCTGCGAAAATCTTTGTTAATAATGAGAAACCATAATAAGGAGAAAATAGAAACTAATAATTGAACAAGATTACTTATTTTCGATGATAAGATTAATTTTCAGTTTCTCAACATGTTCCTATACATGACGTCTGTAGTTTATTGTAGAACTTTTGACATTTTATGTCGTCTTTATTTAATAATTAAAAAAAACGAATTCTGAAAACGTATCCACCCCCAAAGTAGGAGTTTTTAACATCGAATTTTCCAAAACACTGCATAGCCGGTCACTTCTTTTAAATGTTGATTTCCCGCATTTGGTATTTAATACTTTTTTGTTGGTCTGTGTTTTTTTAATATTAAGTATGCAAGTCTTTTAACTCTATTGTTGACGGATTTTGATGGATAGATCAAAATATCCCAATACAGACAGGATGTACTTAGTACAGTTTTAACCCAAGAACTTTGGAGAAATTTATAAAATGTCGTCTAGACAATTTTTCAATGGATTTTATACTATTACACCTAAATCTCAGTAAATGTAAAAATAGATAAATAGCTATGATATATGCGAAAACAGTTTTAAATTAAATATTAAAGTTTTAACTATTCCATTATCAGTAGGTTTAGAAAACGACACTTTATAAATTCTTGCAATGTTTCCGAAGTTCTGGATTAAACTTAGTCGTAGTTAGTTTAACATTGCTCTGAACTTACACAATTTAGTAACTTTATATATGTTCTTGTCAAGATAAGTGAGAATTTAACACTTCTCAAATTAGAAATAGATAATTATGAATTAATATAAGGTACCGTTGTAAATTGGACATACTATTCTATAAAGTTGAAATTACGACGACGATCTCTGTAAGTAACTCTCGCATGAAGTTGATTGTCAATAATTTTATTTAAACATGTTTTAAATAGATATTTAAATAAAAATAATGTCTTGAAATTAAAAACTTTTATTTCTGTTTGTTGTTTTACCTGCTGTACATAATCTTGGATCCTCATCATATCCATCAGAGCAATCAGGAGCTCCATCACAGAGATACTAAACATAGAGTAGAAATAGAGACACAAAACACAGAATAGAAATACAGATACTTAACATAGAGTAGACATAGAAATACTAAACATAGAGTAGACATAGAGATACAAATCATAAATACGCCTAGAGATACTAAACATATAATAGACATAGAGATAGTAAACATAGAGTGCACAAAGAGATTTTAAATATGGAGTAGACATAGATATACTAAAAATAGAATAGAAATAGAGATACTAAACATAGAGTAGACATAGATATACTAAACATAGAGTAGACATAGAGATACTAAACATAGAGTAGACATAAGATTTTAAATATGGAGTAGACATAGATATACTAAAAATAGAATAGAAATAGAGATACTAAACATAGAGTAGACATAGAGATACTAAACATAGAGTAGACATAGAGATACTAAACATAGAGTAGACATAGAGATACTAAACATAGAGTAGACATAACGATACTAAACATAGAGTAGACATAGAGATACTAAACATAGAGTAGACATAGAGATACTTTATATAGAGTAGACATAGAGATACTTAACATAGAGTAGACATAACGATACTAAACATAGAGTAGACATATAAATACTAAACATAGAGAAGACATAAAGATAGTAAACATAGAGTAGAAATAGAGACACTAAACACAGAATAAAAATACAGATACTTAACATAGAGTAGACATAGAGATACTAAAAATAGAGTAGACATAGAGACACTAAACACAGAATAGAAATACAGATACTTAACGACATAGAGATACTAAACATAGAGTAGACATAGAGATACTAAACATAGAGTAGAAATAGAGACACTAAACACAGAATAGAAATACAGATACTTAACATAGAGTAGACATAGAGATACAAATCATAAATACGCCTAGAGATACTAAACATATAATAGACATAGAGATAGTAAACATAGAGTACACAAAGAGATTCTAAATATGGAGTAGACATAGAGATACTAAAAATAGAGTAGGCATAGAGATACAAAACATCGAGTAGACAGGGATACTAAACAAAGAGTAGACATAGAGATAGACCTATATTTTGTTTACCTGGATGGAGATACATTTTCCCTCCTCAGGACATCTGAAGGGTTCGAAGGCAGGACAAGGATTGTCTAAATCATCATCTTTTTTTTGATAAATTACAAAGGTTTCAAAATTAAATGAAAAAGTTGGGATTTGTTAAAATTAGTCCAGAATTAAATGGTTAAAGCTTTTTAGCAAAAATATAATTTAAAGTGTTATTATCTTAATTTTGAATTTATTTTTTTCTTTGTATCCGTTGAAAGAATTTAATAAATGAAAACGTTTGAAAGAATAAAAAAGAATCTTTATAAAAATCCGGGTAACAAGTTGGGATAAACATGAAAAAATCTTGCGATACAAATATGAATGTTGGATATTTTTGTAACAAAACTAGGGAGAGGGGGATAAGGTTCTATGAACAATAAAAAATGTGCTTTCAATCAAATTATGTTTGGGGGAACACTGTTGAACCACGAGAATGCTAAACTTGGCTTTAAAAGGAAAACTTGGTTTCAAGGCAAAGCTACAGGATTCCAAGCTAGTTTACAAAAAATTAGGTAAAGCTGGCTCTCCAAGCTAGTTTACAAAAGATTTTGTAAAGTTGGGTTCCCAAGCTAGTTTACAATAAACTAGGAAAGCTGAGTTCCCAAACTAGTTTACAATAGATTATGTAAAGCTGAGTTTCCAAACTAGTTTACAAAAATTAGGTAAAGCTGGGTTCCAAAGCTACTTTACAATAAACTAGGCAAAGTTGGGTTCTCTAAACTAGTTTACAATAAACTAGAAAAAGCTGAGTTCCCAAGCTAGTTTACAAAAAAAATAGGTAAAGCTGGGTTCCCAATACAATAAACTACAATAAACTAGGCAAAGTTGGGTGCCCAAGCTTGTTTACAATAAACTAGGCAAAGTTGGGTTCCCAAGCTTGTTTACAATAAACTAGGCAAAGTTGGGTTCCCAAGCTAGTTTAAATTATAAACTAGGCAAAGTTGGGTTCTCTAAACTAGTTTACAATAAACTAGGCAAAGCTGAGTTCCCAAACTAGTTTACAAAAGATTATGTAAAGCTGAGTTCCCAAACTAGTTTACAAAAGATTATGTAAAGCTGAGTAGTTTATAGTTAACTAGACAAAGCTGGGTTCCCGAGCTAGTTTACAATAAACTAGTTCTAAAGAGCTAAAGAGTGATAAAATATAAACAGACCGTATACCCCTCTTCTCATAGTTCTAAATATATTTGAATAAACAAAGTAGGCAAACCTTGCAGGATGTGTGCATGTGTATGTGCTAGAGGGTAAGCTAATATTTGAGAATGCAAAAGGTGTACTGCATGTACCACATTTAATGAATGTACATTGTACATGTACAAGATAGGAAGCAAAATCACATTTACTAAACTTTTTTTGTACAGTGAAAACAAAAAACAATTCATGACGTCATTTTTTGGTTTTATAATTTCGGTACGTAAGGGTTCTTTCATTTGCATTGCAACGGAACTATTTCTAAAAGAGACCCCTGAGGCCGAGTTGGAAGAATTCAAATATGGTTGGTTCCAATATTAAAATTGTATTCAATGTTTCAATATTTAAGCCGGCGCTCAACTGAAACCGGTTTCTGGTGGATTTGAGACGCGTCTCAAATTCATTAAATTCGGAGTCTGGACGTGCATAGACTTAAGAGTAAAATCAATTTTAAATTACCAAATCCTTGTATTTTCTTGTATAAAAGTATGTTTTCCTAGTCATCACAGAAACCATTAAAGCCCTGAATTTCAGATCGAGTGAATCTGTATTTTTTTCTGAATAAGAAGAATTGATCGATTGATCGATTGATCGATTGATCGATTGAACGAGTTGTTGTGAGTTAATTTCATGCAGCATAGTTTACAACTCTATATAGATCAAAGCTCAGGGCAGTTTCAAATGTAAATAAACAGATAATTAAAATTCAGAAATAAAACTTTGTTTTCAGTATTTATGAGCATTTCATGCAGAGAAACTATTTCTAATAATAAAAAATATTTTTTTTAATAAGTGAATTAATTTGAGTTTATTTCTAAAATTATAAAAATAATAATGACATTAAACATTATTTTAATTCAAAACTGAATGTTTTTAAACATTTCATGCAGAGCAACTTTTTCTTATTTAAATAAAAAAAAAGAAAATATAGTTTTTATTTGGTTTAATTACAAAATGTTAAATTACAAATGATATTAAACATTACTTGAATCCCCCCTGCCGCATATGTTTACTCAGAAATAAAACTGAATTTTATATTTCATATTGCGTTATGAGCATTTAATGCTAGGAAATCTACTCTTTAACAATGAAAAACATAAAATGTTGTCTTTATTTGAATAAAATATTAATTAATAGTAATTAAAAGAGCGTAAAAAACAATAATTTAATATCTTTGCAAACAGACAAAGGGAGAAGTTTAAATGTATGCAACATCACTAGTTTGGCTTTGTGACCTCTTAGCTCCTTTTAATGCACGAATGTAAGTATGAGAAAATGAAATTGATGCAGCTACTTATTAGAATTTCAAAACATTCTTGTTCTTTACAATACAATTCTTCAAATAAAGGGGCTATTTGATAGTTTCAGACTAATATTAATTTATTTTCTGATATTTTTAATATCATCAGACTAATTTTGATTTATTTCTGGTGTCTTTAATAGTTTTAGGCTAGTTTTAATTCATTTCTGGTATTTTAATATCATCAGACTATGATTTACTTCTGGTATCTTTAATATCATCAGGCTAATTCTAATTGTTTCTGGTATCTTTAATATCATCAGACTAATTCTAAAATGTTTCTAGTATATTTAATATCATCAGACTAATTCTAATATGTTTCTGGTATCTTTAATATCATCAGACTAATTCAAATATGTTTCTGGTATCTTTAATATCATAAGACTAATTATAATTTATTTCTGGTGTTTTTAATAGCTTTAGACAAATTTAAATTTATTTCTGGTATCTTTGATATCATCAGACTAATTCTAATAAATTTCTGGTGTCTAATAGTTTTAGACTAATTCTAATTTATTTCTGATATCTTTAATATCATCAGAGTATAGTATTTCTGGTGTCTTTAATAGCTTTAGACCAATATAAATTTATTTTTAGTATCTTTAATATCATCTAGACTAATTTCTATTTCTGATATTTTTAATATCATCAGACTAAATAGTTCTAATTTTCACATCTTTAAAATTATATATATATTTAAGTTTAAGGTTTTCACTTATTTAAAACTTGTTTATCAAGATGACAAGAATTCACATAAATGCATGAACCAAAAAAAAGGATTCTGTTTATTTTTAATGTTTTAACGTTGTGGCTGAAAGGGATAAGGGGGGGAGTCCGGAGTACTTACTTACGGAAAGAATAGAGGAAGAAAAGGAGGGTAAATGTTTGTTTAGTAATATCAATCTGTTTTATTGGTGTGTATACTTTATACAATATATAAACCAATATTACAACCTATGCAAACAAACCAAGAGTATATTAAACAATTAATTTGACCCACAACAACAACACATTATTTTTGCCAAATCAAACATCTTTATTTCAATTTAAAGTTAGGGGGGTTGAAGTTTTAAAAAGTAAATAAACTTTTAGCTAAACATCGCCATTCTCAGTTTTAGTGCCAGATTGCAAAACAACTTAGTTACAAGCTCTTACACAAACAGTTATCAACATTTTGACAGTAACTCCTTTTAAACTAAGGCTAGCAACTGCTAGCTAGTTCTATTAAAGGTTTAAACTAAGGCTAGCAACTGCAAGCTAGTTCTATTAAAGTTTAAGGTTAGATCTTAAAAAATTTACAAGTGAGTTAGTAAGGTAATGCTAAAAACCAAGGCGTTGCGCAACACTTTAAAGTCGATCCTGTCACAAAAATATTTTAGTTACAACTTTTCATATTTATTTATTTATATTCATATTTTGAATATAAATCTAAGTTGTTTTAAAATCAAAAGTCTATTAAAGTTGAAGTTCAAAAAAAATCATAAAATTAAGTTAATGCTGTGCAAGGTTATTTAGGGTTGTTAATCGTTTTTGAAAACGATCGTTAAACAATTGTTTTTTGCTTGGTTTTTCAATTGTTTTCAAAAACGATCGTTTCGTTTTCGGAAACAAACGATCGTTTTAAAAAACGACCTACTCGTTGTAATCTTTTAGAAAACCAATAACGATCGTTTTGAAAACGATCGTTTTAATGAAAACGATTTGTGACCGTTTTTTATACGATTGTTTTTTAAAAACGAAGACTCGTCGTTAACGATCGTTAACGAAGGGTTGTCGTTATCGATTGTTAACGAAACGACAAACATTATAAGAACGGTCGTCTTTTGAAAAACGATCGTTTTTGAAGAAAAAAAATGTCTCGCAAATTTATTGAATGTCATCTTACATGAAGTGAAAGAGTTGTGGGGGATCTAAAACTTCTTGATATTTTCTTAAAAACTACTCAACGATAAGTACAGATGCCCTTCAGGTCGGTTTCCTCTCTTCGTTAACGAAGGGTCGTCGTTAACGATCGTTAACGAAACGACGAGTTTTAAAAAACGATCGTTTTCAAAAACGATAATTTTTCAAAACGATCGTTTTAAAAACGACCATTTTTTAAAACGAACTATATTTTTCGTCGCATTTTTTATAACGAAACGATCGTTTAAAAAAAACGTTAACATCCCTAGTTATAATGAAAGGAAAGTTAATTGGAGTTGCGTATACTCTGCGTACATATTGAATTCAGTTATCTCTGGGCGGAATAGATGCATCAGTGTTCGTTTAGGAACCGAAGAGGTTAAAAGCGTTAAATTTGATAACTTTGATAATTCACATATTAGTTTCCTCTGACCAGAATATTTCATTGATTTTTTATGTGAAAAATGGATCCCATTACCGCCCCGAGACAGTACACCGCAGTAGAAAAGATGCGCACACCTCAGAAATAACTTCCCTTGCATTATAACCTTGATATCATTTTATTTTAAATGATTTAAGACCTACAAATGTAATTTTTGTTTTGAATGCAAAGTATTAGAGAAATAGAAAATAGTTTTTACAGATACATTGTTATCTGCAAAACGAAAATATAGTTTTTAAAAAGATTCATTTGTGATTTCCTTCCTTCCCTTTCTAATTGCGGTGTCCAATGTTACTCAAAGTTGGTATAGAGTGTGAGGGAATACAAAGTGCTACTAAATATGCAAACATATTCCCTCAGAAACTGTAGAGTAAAATTATTCAAATATATAAAGATATTCCTTCTCCATGGAAACACACACATTTTGGGTGAGCAGGGATCGAATTTAATGAATTTGAGCTATACGTCGCTAAATTATCTACTGCCGGTTCAAAGTTATTGCGTCTTTGCCACAAATTATATCTCTATATCTTTGCAGCACAATGTCGTAGACCTTTTAAATTTTAATCTTTGAATTCTTTTAGGAAATTAATCTGAGTTTAGAATATCAAAGGTTTGCACTTTAACAGGTTGCAAAGGGATATATAGTGATAAAACATTTAAGTGTGTGACAAAAACTTAAATTCTTGTGAACCACCCGATTCAAAGTTATCAGTTAGGAAGGATTCAAATCAGTGATTCAAATTTGAACCGGCGTTTCCGCAAAAGATTACAAGAACTGTGCAACATTTTGATTGACATTTTGATTTTTTAATTTACTGAAGGTTTTATTCGAATTTTCTTTTTTTTTTTGATCAATTTGATTCTGTAAATTTCTTCTGTAAATTCTTTCCTAAAGCTGTAAAGAATGCATAACCTTAAAAACTATATTATTAAACATAAACCTTGTTTCACAATCTATTTCTAAAATATAGTATATATGTTCTTGCTCTAGAAGTTAAAAAGAAAATCTTTATGTATTTCAAGGAGTATGGAATATAAGGGACAGGGGCGGATACAGGATTTAAGTGAGGGGCAAGATTTTTTAGGAACAAAAAAATGAATAATTAGGGAAAAAAATGAGTGCCGCAGGCGAAAATTTTTTTTGACTTAAAAGACTCAAAAAGAGTCAAAATTAATGACTAAAGACTATAAAACTAGATTTTTAAATTTTAGGAACAAAATTAAAGGATTAGAACAGGAATTTAGGAACAATTAAAAGATTTTTCAGGAATTAGGAACAAAAATAAAGGATTAGGACAGGAATTTAAGAACAATTAAAAGATTGTTCAGGAATTAGGAACAAAATTAAAGGATTCGGACAGGGATTTCGGAACAATTAAAAGATTGTTCAGGAATTAGGAACAAAAATAAAGGATTAGAACAGGAATTTAGGAACAATTAAAAGATTGTTCAGGAATTAGGAACAAAATTAAAGGATTAGGACAGGGATATAGGAACAATAAACAGATTGTTCAGGAATTAGGAACAAAAATATAGTATTAGGACAGGGATTTAAGGTGGGTCGGACACAGGAACAGGAACAATAATAGGAACATTAGCAATTTAAGAACAAAAAGAAATTACTAGTAATACTTAAATGCATGAAAATTAGGAACAATATTACAATTTTGATAAATGAGTATTGATTAAGGAACATTTCTAGATATGAACAATATTATAACTTAAGTTTAGTTTCTTACAAATTTCTAATTTTAAATTTATCGTTAACAATAACATTTATCAAATTGGGAACATTTTTTGCCTCAAAATCTCAGGGGGGGGGCGAATGTCCCCCCGCCCCCCCCTTGTATCCGCCCCTGATAAGGGAGAAGTAATAGAGCCGGTCCGCTCTACCATATGATTTACATTGTGTGTTTGTTTGGCGTTATTTAGCCTATACTTTTTTCCCTGTTTAAGTGTATACAATAACCTTTCCTGGATTCATGTACGCGGTATTTGTACATCAGAGGCGGTTCCTTAAAATACATTGGTCGACAACTTGACGTCTCCTATTTTGGTCGTCAAATGTACGGAGAAATATCTATATATCAGATAAGAATTTAGCATGAGACACGACCACTTTCTATGGAGAAAACGGGCTCAGACAAATATGTCTTATTCGAATGAAGTACCGTCTCAAAGCATGTATGATCATATGGTAGGGCGGGCCAGGTCGATTACTTCTCTCTTATATTCCATACTCCTTGATGTATATAAATATTCAATTATATACATCAAGGCCCGTAACCAGGAGTACTGAGTGAAACGTAGTGAACGAGGTGGGGGGATGCAGAGGGACAGAACCCCCTGCAAAGAAAATTTTTAGAAGTTTGGTATAATATCGAGTAATTTTATGTTTTATAGGAAATTTTCTAATTTGTCAACAACACTAGTAATTAGGCTTGAACTTAATATTACAGTGAAAATTCAGTTTTCCCTAAATTTATTGATTTGTATGGCACAAAAAAATTTACAAAATTTAGTTTTTAGTTCAAACTTTACAAGATTGGACACCAGAAAATGTTAAAAATTTTGATATTACGTTCACTGATTTTGAATGTCTAATCAAAATATTGAAACTGAGGCAATAAGTTTCTGCAAAATTTTAATAATTGAATTTTATGATACACACAAGAACAAATTTACAACATTTCATGTATGAATATCTTTTTTCGTCTCAGCGATGCTTTTGTGTTTTTAAATGTATTATTCTTGCCTTTTAAGTAACACTTTTTTTCAAATTTAGGCAAGGTTATGTTATGCAATATGGTATCATTGTGTTTTAAATGCATTTGTTTAAAAAATCAAAAGATATTTAAGCCAAATTTAGCAAAGAAAGAAAAATGTTTGTACGACAATTTCGTCCGGAGATGATGATAATCGTAAAAATTTAATTCCAAACAAATCACTCAGATATTACAAACAATAGTCATCGATTATTTTTCGACGCATTCGTATAAAGTTTTTATATATTTCATATTATTTTTGATTTCGTTTTTTCAAATAATATTTCGCTGGCGCAGGATTTTCGAACATTTCTGGAAATTATGAAAATGTCGTCTTCATTATCAAAAATCCTCGAAACAGTGATAAATGTTTTCAAACGTAACTATCAGATTATAAAAATAAAAAATATAATGAAATATCAACTATATATGAATGAGTCAAAAAATTATCGATGATTATATGTTGAAATATCTGAATGATTTGCTTGGAATTAAACTGATTATTGATTGATTGATTATGGGGTTCTATAAAAAAAATTCAGGGGTGGAACTAATACTAAGAGGGCTTGTCAAATTAAAATGTCAATACATTTTTCAATTTTTACTGCACTCTCATTAGATTTTTTTTTCAAAGAAAAAACATGAATCAATATTGTAAACCGTGTTAATTAAATGTCATGACAAATGGCGGCCTAAAATTTGAAAATAATGATATCAAGAACATATAACAGGATGTGAAACATGATTGACCAAAAATAGTTGGATTTCTATACAAGGTTATCCACAAGGCTTTAGAGACAACTGTAGGAATTTATTTATTCCTAGCCTGTCTCATTAATTCTTGACAATATTCCTAGCCTGTCTCATTAATTCTTGACAATATTCCTAGCCTGTCTCATTAATTCTTGACAATATTCGTAAATATACCATTTTCAGACTATTTTAAAGGCAGTCCTCAAAATTATATTGTCTAATTGTCATATTTGAAGAGTTTAAGGTCGTCGTGTATATCTCATCCTTTTTGGTTAACCTTGTATAAGGAGAAGGTTGCAGTATTTACTTATCCATTATTATGCATGACCAGAGGCGTACGCAGGGTTGGGGACTATGAGGATGCAGCCCCCCTCCCTGGATCAGTAAAATCTATTGGTTTCCAGGGGTTTCCCCAATGGTGCCCTGAAAACAAACAATTTAACTCCCCCCCCCCCAGACAAATTCCTGTGTACGCCCCTGTACATGACATCTACCTATAGAGTGTGCTCTGTGAAACAGGTTTGTGTACATCAAGATGAAAGTACATGAACTGTAAAGTTACTACATACCAATTTTATAGAAGGCCTTACCCGCTCCAAACCTCTTCACTCTCTGCCTGTACCCTGCCAAGGGGTCAGGAAGTACACTCATGTACTCATCCGCTGGGTCATACCCAAGCAGGCGACTGTACGAATACATTCATTGGTGTTTCATCAAGCTTAATTTTGTAACTGTTAGAAAAGACGTATACAGGGGCTCAACAACAAAACGTTAAGCCCCCTGGACAAATTGTAGTATATGCCCCTGACTAGTAAGGGTCTTTAATTTTTCAAGATCAATTTTCATTCGAAAAGGTCTTTTAAACCCTTCCCTTAAGCTGTAAGAAATGCAAACATGCACATTTATAAACCTGGAAAATCAAGAGTGGAAACCTGATAAGGGAGAAGTAATAGAGCCGGTCCGCTAGAGTTGTTTGAAATTAAATTGATTTTTTTACGGTCTAAGTCATATGTTGCAATTTTCTCAATTTGTATGGGCGCTAAGTTATTCGGTATGAGACGTCTTTAACAATTTTCTCCTTATAGACGCAACATATAGAAGTAAGATTATTAGCGATCAAAAGCGCTTTTTTATCGCATTAAGCCTATACCCCCTTTCATTTTTCGCGAACACTCCCTTTAACTTAAAATAAATCTAATCCCAGGAAGCTAGGTAGTAGGTACACATAATTAAATGGGAAATGCGAAAAAGTTTACGGTAATAAAATCCTAAATTTTGGCACTGAAAAAGTGCTATGGAAAAAAGTCCTTGGAATAAAAAGTCTCAGGAAGTAAAGTTCTACCATTTTGAGACTTTATGTATTTCTCTGGTTCCAGTATGTATTTTAGGAAAAAAGTTCCAGGAATCTAAGACACAGGACTTTATTTCCAGTGACATTTTAACCTAAGACTTCAGAAAATTGAGAACTTTTTCACCAAAATTTTTATTTCCGTTTTTTCAGAAACTTTTTGTCCTGTGATTTTCTTACATAGATACAAAGTTTACAATTGGTCAGGAAAATGTATTCAGCATGTCACAACTCACAGCTATACTTTTTTGTGGAATTTGTAGAAGGTTCTTTTTTGTAAGTTTTTCATTTTTAACAGCTTCTGAATAGGTTCCTTAAAACATTTCTGAAATTGAATTGGAAAAGGTTGGAAACACTTCTATGCTTCAGAATATGTTAAAGGCACTGTATGCGTAATGCACAAAGATGACAATGCCCGATTCACAACGGTACCCTTGAAAATTTTAACTGATCAATAACGCGGAAGATATTGTCGTTTTTCTAGGTCTAAGATTATTCAATTTTGTTTTCCTGCAGTAGAATTGCTCAGGTATCGTTTGCAGAGATAGTCACAATTTAGAATAATCCGATTAATGTCTAGTTCAAACTTTTTAGGGTAATGTTGTGAATCGGACATTGCCATCTTTGCATGGAAGCAGGAAATTACGCTTCCAGTCCCTTTAATCATTAAGAATTGTAAGAATGTGTTCCTGAGTTCTGCTGCATATGAAGATGAGAGAACTAGAAGAAGAAGAGGAACAGTTCCAAGCATAACTAGATCTCTACATTTAATTAGCAAACATTTATTCACGTTGTAAACTCAATATTGGTGTTAAGTAAATAATTCAATCTTAACCGACTTTAATGATATTGAACTAGATCGCTGAACTGTCTACCACCAGTTCAAATCCTGAATCACCGATTCTAAGTTAAAGATGCATGAGGATTTGAATCGGTGATTCAGTATTTGAACCAACGGTATAAAGCTAGTTATAAAGATAGTTCAGCGATCTCTCCAATTCATTAAATTCGGTCCTCGCGGCATCACGGAAAGAGAGGGCGGGGGGCTTAGACCACACACCTCATGGTAAGTATGAACTCAGATCTTAAATAATTAATTTTAAAAATCTTTTTGATTAATATTTTAGTCCAGAGTAAAAATATTGCATGGTAAAAAAGTAAACAATTTTCTAGCATACAATTTTAAAATGTAGATTTTACGGACTCAAATGATGCCCTACACAAAATTAGACATTTTTAATGTTATCTATGTATAATATGGCCCTTTCAGGCACATCTCTAATTGTTCAAAAATTTTCAAGGGACAAATATTTGAATAACGATGAAAAAATTGGTCTCCAATGCAATCTTCCATGGTTCTCCAAAGGTACATAAATGTTGATGAAAAGTTCTGAGACTGTATGACGATGAAAGAGAGACTCGTGAAGATAGAAAAAAGACACTAATTCTCATATTAAGCTCTTTCTTCTCAAGTTCAGAGTTTAACAAGGAATCGTTAATGAGGTGTATTAAATAATGGTCAACCACAGGTTACATGAAAGATTTACCACTGAGTTACCCAAAATCTTGTTTGTTTTGGAGAAAGAGTTTTTTTAAAGTGAGAAATTATTTCTATAAAAAGGTGAAAATGTGTATTTGTGATTCACTAACGAATGGCAAACGCAAAAACCAAATCAAACAAAAGTACTCCCACTTAAATGAAGATTTTGCGAATAAAAATTAATTCCCGAATTTAATTCGTTTTTGATCGCTACTAATTTTACATCTATCTGTTGCGTCGATAGAGAGAAAATTGTTAAAAATGCCTTAAACCCAACAGAGAAGAACCCATATTTGCAGAGTAGCATTAAATAAGTCAATTTTACATTTAAACTAACCATTCAAATTTTACAAGTTATAAATGTTAAAGTGTATTTATATGTAGTTTACAAAACATACTCTTTTTTATATTTATTTTGCCACTAGGTGTCTCTAACTTATAATATTTCAGGGATTTTCTCTTGGGAGAGATTTCAAGCGTTTAAAAAACCGTTTTCAGAGGCCGAATTTAAATAATTTGAGCGGCGGTTTAAATTTAAGCCGCGGCTTAAATATGGTTGGTTCCACTTAAAATTGTATCTAATGTTTCAAGATTTAAGCCAGCCCTTAATTCAAACCGGGTTTTGGCAGATTTAAACCGCGGCTCAAATTCTTTAAATTCCATCTCAGAAAACATTGTATAAGAAAAAGATATTTAAACTATATACCTCTGAAGTGATCAAACCCGAATTCAATTCGTGATCAGCATATACCCCCTTTCATTTTTCGCGAGCACTCCCTTTAACAAACAATGTAAACAACACATAAGAGCCAACATCAAACAAAATGTCCACCATAAAAACACAATTTCAACAAAATGTCCACTTTAACAGCAAACATCAAACAAAATGTCCACCATAAAAACACAATTTAAACAAAATGTCCACTTTAACAGCAAATATCATAACAAAATGTCCACCATAAAAACAAATTTAAAAACAAAATGTCCACTTTAACAGCAAATATCATAATAAAATGTCCACCATAAAAACAAATTTCAAAAAAATGTCCACTTTAAAAAAAGTCACAAGTTGCAAAATTGCATCCTAAATTATTTTTATTTGATTTTAAATCTTAATATGAAAACTGGAAAAGAGAAATTTGAATGAGAAAATAAAAAAAAACACTTTTAAGGCGCTGCACTGGGCGTACTTTTAAGTGACCTTTGATTAAAAAGAAGCATGCCACATTTCTAAATTTAATAAATTTTGCTGAGTCAAAGTTTAAAAAGGGTTGTTTGTTCGCTGAGTTGGCAACTCACATGACCCCATGCAGGGAAGGTTTATTGCAGGTCGAAATTGAGAAATGTTCCGTAAAAAACTGTCAAAATTAACGATTTTTGAAAATCCACCAAGTTAAAAATCCGCAAGAAATTCGTTTTTTGCACCCTAACAAAATCTTTCGGTGCATATTGGCCGTGATCTGCTGTACACTGACCGAAGTACAGGTAAATTTTGAGTACGTGGAAAATTAGTGACTTGAAAAATCAACAGATAAAAGCTAAAATTGTTACTAGAAAAAGGACGCCAAGCTCTAAAGATTTATATAGTAATAATAATAAACGATGTTTAAAATTTGAATTTAAAAATTTAAGAAAATGTTTGCTCCCTTTGCTGTTCTTTTTATAACTGAGGAGAGAAGGAGGGAGGGGGTAAGGGGGGGCATGAGGCCGCTTTGAGGCCGTAATCTCACTTCATTCCCACCACGCACCACTGTGCACCGGCGGCCCTATTCTCATGAGAGGGATTCTAGATTTTCCTTTCTAAAAAGGATTGTTTTTATAAAATGTTTTACCAAATTTTTTTTAAATTACTATTCTTATCTTCAATAAAGAGAATTTATTTAGATATTTGCCATTTTCACCTATTTTTTATTTTTTTAGATTTCTTATTGGTATCTAAACTTTAAAAAGACATTTTGTATACTTCAATTTTTCTTAGATATTTTCCATGTTTGCATTGTATTTAAGAGTCATTTAAAAAAATACTTTAAAGTGTTAAAAAAAAATAATATTAATAAGATATACAATATTTTTGAAAAGATCAATTTATAATCTCTTTATAGTTACTTATATAATTCATCTAATCTTAATTATTTATATATTTTATATATTTTCTAAAATATATTCTTCATTTTTAAAAATCTAAACTAACATGTCCAATATTTTCTACTTTTTAAACTTTTTATTCCGCAAATCATAAATTGTATATGATCACAGTGAATTCCACTTTCTTCTGATTTAAGTTTTTTTTCATTAATAATTCAAGACAACTTCCTATCTTTATACAGTGATAACCTGGAAACATTATAAAAGAAAGACGACATTTTGTCAATGCTGAATTGTATTTGAATTTGTCACAAAACAAATAGTCTTTTTAGACACTTGAGAAATCATAATTTTAGTGAAATGGGTCTGTTTACATTGCACAATTATTGTGATTAATGCTCATTGGACTTTTTAAAGTTGTCACTTGATTTTAAAAGTCGTAAGTCACTGTAAATATACTAAAAATTTCATTAAAAGCTGAGTAGAAATAAAATGATGAAAAAGTAGTTCACTAGTACTATTTTGGCAGGGTAGGATTAAAAAAACGTCCCAACAAGAAAACCACCATATTGTCCATTTTGAAAAATCACAAATGTGAGATTTCATTGTGTTGTTGTTCAATGATATATAAAAAAAAGTACGGCAAAAAGGAATAGTAAGAAAATATAAGAATAAAACTGAAAAGATTTTGATATTTTCGTTTTGCAAGTAGTGCCAATTTTAGTTGTTTACATTACTAGGCTTAGGCTATCAGGGCGCATCGCGCCCATCTTCTCTTTCAACTTTTAATTGTTTCTCAATCTTGCAACATTTTTCTTAGATGAAACTGTCATAAAATTTGTTGTGGATTTACAAATTTTTGGGGGAGATTTTCAAAATTTTACTAAAAAAAAAGATTTTTGGAGACAACTTTTTGTAATTCTGAGCATCAATAAACCTTCCCGGGGGTCATGTGAGGTCCCACACCAAATTTGGACCCTATTGGTGCAGCCGTTTAGACGTATTGGACACAAACGGACAAACGGACAGACAAGCAGAGTGTAGACTTTATCCATAGTTTCTCCGCTAACTTGTTGCTCTCTGCAGAAACCTCCGGCACAACAGGTAAAGTTTTATCTATCTATCTATCTATCTATCTATCTATCTATATATCTATCTATCTATATATCTATATATCTATCTATCTATCTATCTATCTATCTATCTATCTATCTATCTATCTATATATCTATCTATCTATCTATCTATCTATCTATCTATTTATCTATCTTTCTTTCTATCTATCTATATATTTATTCTATTTATTCTATTTATCTATATATGTATCTATTTATCTATCTATATATCTACCTAACTATATATCTATCTATCTATCCATCCATTTATCTCCAAACGCCAAGTTTTCTCACTTCTAAACAATTGTTTGAATGACATCACACCACCCCACCCCCCTCCTCCCTAAATATTCTTTTACACCCCTGGGTGAATAAGATCCCCTAGAAAGCCTGTTAATCTGCTTAATCTTCCTGGAAATGACACCTCTCTTGTCTCCATCCTTTCATCTACTCATCTTTCAAACAACTGGGTGTTCATATAGCATATTCTGTTGTAATGTCATGTCCCTTATGATCCTTATTATCTATGTTAGTAATATATCTTATCTATTTCAATGTTGACCCTGACTGTCCATTACGGTCAGTTTTGATTTTACCTGTATATAAAATAAAGTAGTTGAATACGAATTGTTGCTTAACACAGACGTATACAGAGCCTTGAGTTTTGGCTAGAGATAGAGTCAGTTAGATTCTAATTAAACTTTGAGTGTAGTTATCGTTGAGTTATCTCGGGGCTAGATTTCTTACAATCATGCATTTTGAGAGACGGATTAAATGTCGTCTTTGAATTTTGAAATTACTTGGGGCATCATCCGAACTATGTGGCTTCCCTTGTTAGGGTTTTCAAAATTACCGGATATTTTGATTTATTAGATGTACCATTTCAAGATTCATATAGGTAAATAACATTACGAACAGCATATAGTTTTTCTAATCTTTAGTTTTATATGATTGATAGCTATCTAGGATAAAAGATGTGTTTAAAGACTTCTTTCAACTGTCATATTTAGAACCTCGTAGCTCTCTAAACCTAGATACATTCAGCTCAGTTTTTATACTGTACTTGTTTAATATCCAAATGGCATTCTTTGTTTTGACTGTCTAGATGTAATATTGCTGTCTTCGCTTCGAGAAATGTTAATTTTTCAACAAATTGTATTTCTTTTCCCCCCATAACTAAGGTTTAGTTAGCTGATTTGCTTAACATCTGTTTTATCAGCGTTTACATGGAGTCCTATACTTGATTTTATATTTTACCAATCTCTCAGACTTTTCTTGCATTTTTCTGTGGTTAGAAGCTGAGCTAGAAGAAGTCCTGTGACCGAATTTAAAGAATTTGAGCGGCGGTTTAAATTTAAGCCGCGGTTTAAATATGGTTGGTTCCACTTAAAATTGTATCAAATGTATCAAGATTTAAGCCGGCGCTTAATTTAAACCGGGTTTTCACGGATTTAAACCGCGGCTCAAATTCTTTGAATTCCATCTCTGGACTTCTTATTGGATAAGCAAGCCCCACTGAATCCATCTGCCTGTTTCCAGTGGCCTTACCTCTTCATGCACCCAGTGTATTGCCATGATACGAAGGATTGATGAGAGAAGTTATCCCTGTCGTTTCCAGTTTCAATATCAAACCATTTAGTAGTATTTTTAGTGTCCCGTGGACAGTACTATTAGGATATTTGAGTACTATTATAGTACTATTAGAGTACTATTAGAGTACTATTAGAGTACTATTAGAGTACTATTAGAGTACTATTATAGTACTAATAGGCTTTTAGGGCGCTTCGCGGCCATCTTCTATTTCAACTTTTAATTGTGGCTTTATCTCTGAACATCTTCTCTTTGTACAGTATAAAACAAAAACAAAAAAAGTTTGCGGATTTCATAATATTTTTTTGCCGCATTTTCAAAATTTTTCAAAAATAGAAAACTTTTAAACACAAATTTTTAAAATTTTGATCATTGATAAACCTTGAGGTCCGACAAAAAATTTGGGCCCGATCGGTTCAGCCTTTTTGACGTTTATTGGACAGAAACAGACAGACAGACACCAAAACAAACAGACAAGCCAAATGTATATATAGATTAAAGTACTATTAGAGTACTATTAGAGTACTATTAGAGTACTATTATAGTACTATTAGAGTACTATTATAGTACTATTATAGTACTATTAGAGTACTATTAGAGTATTATTAGAGTTGTATTTGAGTTGTATTTGAGTACTATTAGAGTACTATTAGAGTACTATTAGAGTACTATTAGAGTACTTTTAGAGTACTATTAGAGTACTATATGAGAGTACTATTAGAGTACTACTATTAGAGTACTGTTAGAGTACTATTAGAGTACTATTATAGTACTATTAGAGTACTATTAGAGTACTATTATAGTAAGTACTATTAGAGTACTATTAGAGTACTATTAGAGTACTATTATAGTACTATTAGAGTACTATTAGAGTACTATTAGAGTACTATATGAGAGTACTATTAGAGTACTATTAGAGTACTATTAAAGTTGTATTAGAGTACTATTAGAGTACTATTATAGTACTATTAGAGTACTATTATATTGTTATTAGAGTACTATTAGAGTACTATTAGAGTACTATTAGAGTACTATTAGAGTACTATTAGAGTTGTACTTGAGTTGTATTTGAGTACTATTAGAGTACTATTAGAGTACTATTAGAGTACTATTAGAGTACTTTTAGAGTACTATTAGAGTACTATTAGAGTACTATTGGAGTACTATTAGAGTACTATATGAGAGTACTATTAGAGTACTATTAGAGTACTATTAAAGTTGTATTTGAGTACTATTAGAGTACTATTAGAGTACTATTGGAGTACTATTAGAGTACTATTAGAGTACTATTAGAGTACTATTAGAGTATTATTAGATTACCAATCCAGTAAGATATTTGTTAAATTCCTATATAAAGTTCATTATATCAAATCTAGAGAATTAATAATGTAGTATCAGAGCAACATCTATTTTTCAATGACATTTTTTATCGTTACCAAGAAAAATATACCAGGAAACCCCGTCCCTCATATCTTGTTTACAAAAAAGTGTATAAGACACCATCATTTCGGTCAGGAATGTAAATATAAACAAAATGCTGCTCTTACTAAGTTTTGTTTATATTTCTCCCAGAAATTACAGTACAATTTTAAATTTAACCAAGCTGGGGACTACTGCGTTATCTTTGTTAATTCTTATACAACATAGAACATATGGATTTAGACGCTATTAAGAAATTATCAGAATGATAAAATATTGATAAAATTATCATGATTCATCACATGTTTTTTTTATGTCTTAATATCTATATACATCTATTAGTACGTACCTCTGTTCCTTTGCCTGTTCCTTATCGGATTTGCTGCATATTTTGATTTGGAAAATCGGTAGAAAATATGAATGTTATTACCTTGGTTTAAAAATATGTAGCGAAAGTTGAAATTCCAGGCCAAGCTGGGTTCCCAAACTAGTCTTAGATAAAGTCGTAATAGCTTGAGGTTTACTAAAAGATCAAATCTTTTATCAGTTTAAAGTTGATGATTTTTGAAAACTTTTGCAGAAAAGAATATTGTACCCCTGAAATGTGTTGCGGCCAAAACTTCTGTAATTAGGCAGAGCGACTGAGTAGGTACAGATTAGGTTTGTGCAACATAATTATTTTTTTATTTAATATTGGGTGAATTATTGTTTGTAGATAGGAGCTTTTAGCTTTTTTTAAATCCGAAACATTCCGTTCCTGTAAGATAAGTTGAACATATTATTTCATTTTTTTTTTTATTTCGACAACAACTGCACAAACCTATCATATTCATAATATTGTATTAAATTTCATTTAATGTAGATACAACACATTTGTACATAAGAGTTTATATAATACATTATAAAATATACAAACATGAAATTAATTTGATAACTGTTTTTTCTCTATAAAGGTAGCTTTCTAGGAGTCGAGTGTAGCGTTTTGTTTTAGTTAGCAGTATATAGCATTTTATTTATTAAGTAGTGTTTTATGAGTGTACCGGTGTTTATAAGAGTTTTTAATTTCAATTTTAAGAAGATGAATATCCCCAGACCCAACCTTAAGACCGGTAAATTAAAATTTCATAAGCTTTCAATAAATCTTAGATGCATTCAGGGTTTTATTCAGGAAAGGAGCAAAGGGGGTTGAATAAAAAATCTTCCTTCAACTATAATTA